CTGTACTAGATGTCACGGCACACTATGCTTTGCTTCACCTGCGTGATGTTCACATCCCCTTGATGTCTCCCACAAAGAGCCAAATTACCCATCTACCATTCGTTTTAAAAAGTTTATCATCCATACGGTCTTTACTTGTGGGAAAAAATTTAGGAAAAAAATTAAATGTCAATCTTGTATTGTAGACGTAAGGTAAGGTGTACTTTAAAAATCCATCGAAGAGTGTTTCTTTGTCATTAGAAAATTATCCAATTAATCATATTGATCTCGATATGTATGGATATAAAAAAAAAGAAAATTTAAATATTAAAAATAGTACATCCTATAATACATTATTTAGACCATCCATTTTTAAGATTTTCAAATGTTCATAGATCAACACTATTTTTGGAGCTTTCAATTTAATAATGGAGGTAAAAAATGGACTCTTGGGAGTTTCGACACTGAAAATATAGTTTGCAACGAAATCTTGAGGTGCACCTTACCGTGATTGTCTAAAGTTGACGCTTTGTACAAACCTTACCCTTTGTCGTGGGTTCTTGGGTTGTTTAGGGGTTGAAGTTTATCAACCGCTAATCTAGTTTTGGCTTTTTCTTGCACCACCCGCAAGATACACTGTGTATTTACCTCCTTGGGTAAAAGAGCTACTTTAAATAATTTATATAAAATTTTGAGATTCACCCTAAGATCACTAAGTGAGTATTTAAAAAGAAAATAGAATTTGAGTTCCTAAACATGGAGATTTAATCATTCAACAATCATAAATTCTCAATCTTAGGGTTTTTTTTTGTTTTTTCGGCACATATATAGTGTGAATATCTTTATTTTTTTATTTTTTCTCTTAGGATAGCTGGCTGCTAAGATAAGTCTAAAAACTGGGGTCCTAAATTTTAGAAAAATTTACAAAAAATCCTATTTTAAATGTGGTATTTAAAAACAATCTCATACATTTTATATTTTACACTCGAGTCCCTTTTTTAGAGCATATAATATATTCTAGTTTTCTCATTTTTTCTAGACATCGGATTAAACTCAAATTTAGTATATGCATCCTTCGCACATTAACATACCTATAAAACTATTTTTAAAAAATTGAAAATAAATAAATAGCCAACTTACCCCTACAAGATTTGGTTGTATTTTGTATTTTTATTTAATGTTTTATATTTTTATAGGTATGTGATAATAAAAAGTATGAACAATAAAATTTGAGCTTTATCTGATAAATAGAAAAAAGATAAAATTAAATCTACCATATACCTCAAAAGGTTGGACCTGAGTGTAAAATCTGAAATACAAAAATTACTTTTTAATCCTATTCATAGAATTTTCTGTAAATTCTCCTAAAATTTATTCCTATATAGCATTTTAATCAAGGAAGTTCATGGACGACATGCTCCCTCAGGAGCATATAACCTTTTGAAATTTCTAAAGAAACAATATATAACAAGATCTCATTTTATACCTGTAGAGATAACACATTAATGGAGACATCAAAGTTGTGAAAAAAAAAAATATTTTAGAAAACCCCCTTGGGCTTTCTCAAGAGAAAACAATACATGTCTATCTTTTTTGGTTTGAAATTTTGGAAATAGAACAAAACAAGAGTCAAGAGGTTGGATCTTATTAGCAAACATGAAAAAAATTTATATTAAGACTAGGGTAACATCAATTGTGTTTACCAGCTACAAAACTAATAGATAATTTATAGAAGGAAAATGGTTTGATGGGGTTGCACTCTATCAAAATAAGTAAAGCCACACCTCATAACTCATCAAAAATTGCAATTTAAGTGTTGAAAAACCTTTAAATCTTGCATCTAAGCTTGAACATTATGGTTGTGAAAAAAAATTAGGGTTTCAAGTTCTAAAACAATGTATATTGCAACAAATCGTCTAGACCATCCATTTCATCTTAAAAATAAGGTTCATAGATCTACAAGATTTGTATCATTTTTTTAGTTTCAAATTTTGTTGTCCATTTTGGAAATTGATTTTAGAGCCATCGTGAAGATTTCTAATACCTAAAGTTATATTTGGATGTGGATTTCAGGTGAGGCTTTATTTTGATTTCATAAAGCCTAGGCCCTATAGAAACTTCATCCTTTGTATTAAGACCAGACTAACATCATTTGTGCTTATCAGCTAGAAAACTAATAGATATTTTTATACAAGTTTGAGATATTGGGTCCCAATCCCATTTCCAAAAAGAAATATTGACCCATCCCCCCAAAGCAAACAATAAAATTGTAGCCATTTTGTGATGTGGCATTTGGTCATAATGGTGTGAACACACAACTTGGATGAGGAAGATCATGGGTGTGCATTCTATAGCCATTCTCTTGTAGCCTTGGGTCCATAAGAGTGGCATACAATTTGCAATGAGAAAAGGGTACGAGTATGAAATTTATATTTTGTCCCTTGATCAAATCAGGCTAGGTACCTCCAAAAATAAAATAACAACATTTTTTTTTTTGGGGAAGTTATTTAGGTCAATGAAATTCTCTCCAAAGTTCCTTTCTTGGATCAGAAGTCCCAAGAGGTGAGTTTATTATAGTTTTTGCCCTCAGTTAGGCTTCATACCTGTAGAAACAACAAGTATGCTTTATCTTGACGTGATTTATATCAATGAAACTAAAAACGAGGACTTGAGTGTAAAATATGAAATACAGAGAAATAAACTTTAATTCTAAAAATAGACAAGAATTTATGGTAAATTCTCCTAAAATTTATTCCTAGATGGGATTTAACCAAGCAAGTGCATGGACGACATGCTGCCGCAAGAGCATATAGTTTTTTGAAATTTCTAAAGAAACAATATATAACAATGTCTCATTTTATACATGTTTAGATAAAACATTAATTGAAACATCAAAGTTGTGAAAAATGGAGATTGTTTTAGAAAACTCTCCAGTAGATAATGGGATTTTTCAAGAAAAAACAATACATCTATACCTTTTTTTGGTTTTTTGGTTGGAAATTTTGGAAATAATACAAAACAAGAGTCAAGAGGTTCGATCTTATTAGCAATCATGAAAATAAATGTGCTTATAAAAAAGCAAGAAAACTAATAGACTTTATACAAGTTTGAGATATTGGGTCCCAATCCCATTCCAAAAGGAAAGATATCAATTGATAATTGACCCATCCACCCAAAACAAACAAGAAAATTGTAGGCCATTTTGTGATGTGGCATTTGGTCTTAATGGTGTGAACACACAAGTTGGATGAGGAAGATCAAGGGTGTGAATTCTAAATACCTTTTCTTGTAGCTTTGATCCAAAAAGGTGACACACAGTTTGCTATGAGACAAGGCTTAGAGTATGAACATTACATTTTGTTCCTTGCCCAAATCAGGTTAGATACCTCCAAATATAAAATAATAACTTTTTCCTTTCTTATTTTTGAAGTTATTTATATCAATGAAATTCTCCCCAAAGTTCCTTTCTTGGATTAGAAGTCCCAAGAGGTGAGTTTATTATTGTGTTTGCCCTGCACAAATTCAGCTTCATTCCTGTAGAAATTAAAGGTAGGACTTATCTTGATGTTATTTCTATCAATGAAAACTTACCCAAAGTTCCTCCGAGGGCTTCCAAAGGCAAGCAACTCTATTATAGTTAGGGTCATATATTGTGCTCTCTCGGGAGTATTGGTTTAAGAAGGGTGATGACCTTGAGCATTCTCTTAACCCATCCTAAGCCTAGGTAAAGGAGGTGGGTTGTGTTAGGCAGAGTACTATGTAAAACTTTTCTAAAAATTTTCATGAATTATGAATCTACATCATATAATGATGAATATTCTCTCTCATGAGAATACTATACACTAACTCCTTTTGTGAAAGACCTATCTAGGAAGATTTATGGGATATGCTCAGCAATCGACATATCCTTACTTTCATAAAATAAAATTTAATTATTGAGTTCTTCGATGTTTAGACATCACCCTCCAAAAATTGGACTATCTATGCTCAATCTGTGGATGTTACCCTTTCCAAGCCAAAGTGCGATTTATCACCCTTTTTTTTTTTTTGAGGTTAGTGGCAGGATTGAAGAGGTCTACATCCCCAAAATTTGAGTCCTAATACTCCTCCTAAATTGGGTTTTTCTTGAGAGAGTAAATAGACAGTATACTTCATCCAGAGCACATAATCTTTAGGGATTGTACTTTGCTTAGTCAATAAATAATTCTCTTATTGTTTTCCTTTCGAGTTAGAAGTCTCTACTTTGTTAAACAGTTGTTGGGTTTCTTCTTGTCTATGGAGTCCTTGCCATTACACACTCATGTTTCTTAAGCAATGGTCAATAACTATCCATAATTGTTGGGCTTCTTTTTGTCTTTTTAATTCGAGGTACATCTCAATGGCACCCTTTCAAGTTAATATTTGCTCTTTACCAAGACAAACCTCAGTGTAAATTAAGGATCAATGGAATAGAGAACAATATATATCGCGTTCAATGTACACAAACAACATGAAGCAGAAAACACATGAGAATTGCTTACTTCTTAAGAAGAAAATGTGAGAGAGAGCAAGAGAGAGTTTGAAAAGTGCCCCAGTCTCCGCTTGGTTTCCAACAAAACTTCCTTTCATGATCATCTATTTCATCTTAGAAGGTCTCTATCTGTTCCCTTCCAATTCAAGATGATACTCATCCAAGACATGCACAGCCTAAAAATGGGAATAACTCAATTGATTATTGATGCATCCATTCTCCATTCCTTGAATGCTTAATTGATTACTGATTGGTCCATTCTCCATTCTTTGAATCCTTATAATTCACTAAGACAAGCCATGAAACGAGAAAAGATGATCCAGTATAGAAGATGATCCAGTATATATGAAAAACTGCCATTGTTTAAAGTGATGAAAGTAAGTTTTCACATGGTAGTTTCTTACATCATGATCCATGAAATGCATTTCAATGTAGCAATTCCTACATGGGCAGATGTTCTTAGTGACCTGAGCCATGGCCCATGGTTCTACGCATGAAGCCAAAGTTTTACTCACTGAATATTTCTATAATGGATCATGGTTTCTCTGTTTTCGTATAAATTATTCAGCATGAATCTCATAGGGAGTATATGACCCGCCTCCCTCCACTCTTTTAGGCAAATAAACTTCTCTACTGTTGCTATCTTCTCCTCCAATCCAACTGCAACCAGGAATTTCTTCAGCCTTTTACTGTGCATAACCATTCTCATCTTATGAGCATCATCCCACCTTCATAAAGAAGCATGAATATTAGAAAGAACAACAAAATGCGTATGGTTTTCAGGCTCTAAATCAACAAGGTGAGATAATGCTCTCTGTCTCCTAACTCTACAGTGAGATGAATCCGACAAGCACCCAATAAAGCCCCCCATACACCAGCATCAGGCTTCATATGCATCCTTTGAATAAAAGCCCATGCTTCCTCAATCTTACCTGCACGACCCAATAGATCGACCATACAAGCATGGTGCTCCAAATATGGTTCAATGTAGTTTTCATATCTCGTGGATTCGAAAATTCTCAAACCTTCATCAACTAGTCCTTCATGCCTACATGCGGATAGAACACTCAAGAGTGACAAGTCATCAAACAATACAGAATTCTCTCTCTTCTGAGAGAAAAGAAAAATAGCATCTTGGCCATGGCCGTGGATGGCATATCTTGATAACATAGCATTCCACGACACTATATCCCTATAGGGCATGAGATCAAAAATTTCTCGAGCCATACCCAGGTGCCCACATTTCGAATACATACCTATCAAACTATTACTTACTATTATACTTGAGAAAAACCTAGTTTTTACTATAAATGAATGGATGGCTTTTCCTTCATTCAAAGCCATCAATTGTGCATAGGCTGGTATTATGCTAACAATGAAGACCAAATTGCGCTGGAGCTTCTCTTTCACTCTCCCAACAAAAAATAGAAACAGCGTCCTTGGGCGCCCATTTTGTGCATATCCTGCAATCATAGTGTTCCATGAGATCTCATCCTTCAGAAATTCGGTCTGAAATAATTTCTCAGCATGACCAATGCACCCACATTTGGCATGCATGTCAATGGTGGCATTCATGACGCGGAGATCAGATTCAAAACCAAGCTTGATGGCATGGCCATGTATGCAAATGCCATTATTTATAGCTTTTAAGAGTGCACATGAAGGGAGCAAGCCCACTAAGGTGCTAGAATCTAGCTTAAGCCCAACAGATTGCATTTGCCTAAATGTTTCCATGGCTTTATGGGCATGACCTATATGAGCATAGCCATTGACCATGGCATTCCATGTAACTACATCTTTGCATGGCATCTCATGAAACCAAAGCTTTGACTAAAGCATCCACACTTTACATACATGGCCACAAGTGTTGTTCCTATCGAAACATCCAATCCCATACCCATGTCAACTTTCATAACATAGCCATTAATACTCTTGCCTAGTTTCAAAGCTGATATCTCTGCACAAAAAGGAAGAACACTTACTATAGTCACACGATTTGGCTTTAAATTCACATTTTGCATTTTTCTAAAAAACTCCAATGCTTCATTGGGATGCCCACCATGAGCAAGAGCATATATCATAGCACTCCAAGCTACCAAATCTCCATTTTCAATAGCATGAAACAATTCCTTTGCCAGATTGAGGCTTCCACACTTAGCATACATTGTTATAAGTGTGGTGATTACCTCAAGTAATGGATTTCCTTCCCTTTCTCAATATCTCACAGATCGGTTGTTGCCAAAGGAGCCTTAATTATCTGCACTTGATTAAGCCTCACTTTCTCTCTTTTAATTCACCGAAAATCTCCAAAGTCTCCATACTATACCCATTCTTAGAATAAGCAGAAATTAAGGAGCCTCAAGAAACGTCATCTATCTTCAAAAGTCTATCAACGATTCGACGAGAAGCTTCCACCTTTCCATATTTTGCATAGAGATCGATCAACCCATTAAAAATCGGAAGCTCGAACTCTCTCTTGATGGCAAAATAATACAAACATTTACACAGCACAAGACTGGATAATCAGCACACTGATGGAAACAGGTTCAATAAACTCACTGAATTGGCCTCAATGCCCACCATTTGCATCTCTCTAAACACTTTCAGCATCTTTTTAGGATCACCAACTTGTGAATAACCATAAATCATCGCATTCCAAGCCACCACATGTCTCTCACTCATTTTATTAAACACTTCTCTCGCGAATTCGGTGTAACCAAATTTACAGTATATATCAATTAGGCCAGTGCAAATGTAACCATCTAGTCCAAATCCTCTCTTAACAACCTCCCCATGAAGAGAAAAATTCATATCCAAACACAAAATTCCAGTACATGCCTTCAATAGAAAGGTAAAAGTGTAAGTATCAGGCTCAATGGCCTCTTTTAGCATATCAGTATATAAAACCAAAGCTTTTCTATACAAATTGCTCTGGTTATAAACTTTGATCATGGAATTTCATAAAATAACAATTGGGTTTTTAAAAAATTCAAAGGTTAGGCGACCCCCAACTAATCCATGATAAACTAAATATAAATTAAAGAGCTTTGCCTCTAATGAATGGTCTGGTTCAAGGCCTAGAACTATCAAACGACCATGGATTTGTTTCAAAGAGCTTAAATTCTTGCAAGAACTCAAAAGATTGGTATAGTAGTATTGTTCTGAGCATGATACCGCTTTATCAATAGTGATTCTCACTGTTGCAAGAAAAGAGAAGCGCCTGAGAAATCCATGTCCGATGCAGAGATACATACGTATGGGAAGAGGATTTGTCCCAAAATATCGACGGGACAATGGTCATTAGCATTCCTTATCTTATATACCTGCATTATATGCATTGATTGGAATATTAATCGATAATTAAGAGAGAGTCAAGAACAATGTACTAACTTAAATTAATGTTGTTATTTGTTATAATTAAGCAAAATTTTACAATTGATACCATCCGCATATATACACATATGTCACTGAAATTCAAAGCTTTATAATCTAAATGGGTGTTGAAAAGTTTCAGTCAAAATGTCAAGTCTAATATGGTTTTATTTTTATTTTTCTATAAATTATCTTGACATGAAATTTATGATATGTCCGCTACTTATTGCAATGCATCCAACAAAAAAAAAAATTATGAGTAAAAATAAATGACTGAAATAAATGCTTTTTTTATTTGTTGCGCTGAGGAGATACCCCAAATTTCATCTCGATTTGTAAGAAAAAGATTAAAAATTATATATTACGGCAATAATTTCGTATAATAATATAATACAACAATATTTAAAAATCATGTTAGGGCTTACGAAGTACCTATATCAAGATAAGACATTCATACGCCTATTTGTCACATATGAAGATTAAAGTTGTAAAACAAAAGAAATATATGATAAGATAGAATTTGTGCCTCATTAAGGCACTCTAATCGACGCCCCATTAGAGCACTCTAAACTTTTACCTTTGGTAAGTTTCCCATCTTTTAAGTTAAGGATTTTATACCTATGGGAAAAGTTTATACGGTGCTTAGGCTTTAAAAAATCAAATTAGAGCATACGTCAAAAAGTTTTGTAGAAGCGGTTTTTTTGATGCTCAAATATTATCAAATTGATCATCTCAACATCAAGATGCATGGACATGAGAAAAAATGGATTTCAAGTTTTAGAAATAGTGCATCTTATAACGTATTTTTTTGACCATCAATTTTCAAGTTTTCATTGATCTGCTGAATATGCACTATTTTTTAAGTTTTAAATTTTATAATTATATATTTTAAGGCTATTACAAAAATTTCTAGTATTAAAATCATATTTCTCGACACTATTGAAGGTCAGCACTAATTTGATTACAAACCCCACCGTATGTTGTATAAAGATGTCACAATTATTTATACCATCATATGTGAAATTTGATAGCTTGGATGTGTCACAGAATTAGAGAAAAAATCTTTCGAACTTTACGCTTGGTCAATAGAATAAATGCACCCATCCAATTTCACATCTAATAGTCAAGATTATTTGCATAGATACAAAAAGAAATATACCAATGATGTGGAAATCAGTTATTTTAGTGCAAATATTGGAGACCAAATTTTTATCGATAAAACTTCCCTAATATTTTTATAGTTTCCAAATTCTAATGGAGTACCAAAACCCTAGCATATCAACTCAAAATTCAAGAAAAAAGTCTTAAAAATACCTATAGGTAAATTGCTACAGTATTTCGCCCTGCCACGGACATGCTATGTTCGTAACGGTTTTGCCTAAAAACTGCCACGGACCTACGAGAGCCATGACGATCCCTGTACAATTTTTGCGTGAAAAAACTATCGTCACGGACTTGCTATGTCCATGATGGACCGCAACGCACATGCTATATCCATGACAATCTTTAATCCATGCCGTTCGAAAAAATCGAATGGTGCCAAGCCTATGGGCAAAAATACTGTTCATTTTCACTCATAAGCGTTTTGTAGTCTCTTCCAAATTCAGGACTCCCCTAGTGTTTTCATTTTCTTCGACTTCTTCGGCTTCTTCGGACTATGACTTTGCACTCCGGATCATAATCACGTTCTTTTGTTATTAAGTCAAAACATTTCTCTTTTTTTTTTAACATTAATTCTCAATATAGGAGTGTTCTTAGAACCAACTTTTGAGGATTGCCTACAATTTTTTATTGATGGACTTACACGTAAACATAATTAAATAACTCCCCTTGCTTGTCTTTGGGTTTAACTTTAACCATTAGCATGCGAATTTTTCATTCCCCTGTAAGAACATATGAAACCCAACAGGCCCGGTCGGGTCTCGGTGTTGTCTAGGGTCGGGTCCGATATGAGACTACAAATTAGAAAAAGAAAGTTATTAAATATATTTTACAAGATGTATATATACACATTTTTTAAGAGAGGAAGTTAATTATGGAAAAGAAGTGATATATAATTATGGAAAAGAAGTGAGATATAGTTAATATTATTTAGGTTAAATAATTATATATTTTGCACTTAGATAATCCGAGCCAGGACGAGTCAGGTTGGATTAATTCTGACTTGGTCCCAATTCCAGCCTGCCTAGTCCAACACCTGAATCCAGATGTGGTTTGAGTCAACCTACCCGATTGCCAACCTTTCTTTTCTTTTTTCTTTTTTTGGAAGTGGGGGGAGGTAATTTAGTGGGGAAGTCAGGCTATTTGCTTTTTTTCAAATAGTTTAGGGAGTTAACTTCAAATTGGAGGTGTTAGGAGGATTTGAAAACCACAACGTGATAAATAGATATGAGATGTGAAAGGATATATAGATCGCATAAATTATAGCTTATTTTATGAACATATTATTTTATGAACATAGGGATTAGCCAAAGCATGCAGTTTCCCTAGGGGAGGGCTTTATGAAATTTTGGTAAAAATTTTCAATTGTAAATCCTCTCAGAAAACACAGTTTGGGTGCCAAAAACCCATGTCATGGCTAGGAAATCTGTTTCAGCCCATGATCATCGAGCTTATAAACGATGCATATCCAAAACATTTGTAAAGACAGGAAATGGACAATTGACGTGCCAAAACCCTCATAACGACTTGATAAGTTATTCCCATAGTAGAATTAGCAGCTCCAAAATATGCAAATCCAGAAATTTATGATAGAATTTGATGCCCTAGTGCAAATCTAGAAAATCTAATAAAACTTAAAATGGACATTCTAACTAATTTATTGCAAAATAAGGTCATTTTCTAAGAGAGAGCTAGGACACTTCAAATAATTTATTGCAAAATGAGGCCAATTTTTAAGAGAGAGTCCCTTAGCCCCGGTTAGGGATAATCCTTTAACCTGGGTGGCCAATATGGCGAAACCCTAACATCGCATCAACTAATGTACTCCACAAGTAAAAGAATTGGAAAATATTTATATGAAGTATTAATATTATATTATTGAGCATCGTTAAAAGTATGACTTTTGATAGAGTAAAATAACATACCAAGATTTATGTAGTCAATTCTCAAATAGTTGAGAAAAGAGTATGATGATGATAATAATGATTAATATTATACTATTGAAGTGAAGTCCATCACAAAGATCCCCGAAAAAAGAAATTTTCTACCTTGCAAAACCCTGCAATTGACCATTTCAACCTTGAGATATTTTGATACGATGAAGAAGTTTTTTTGTTGAAAATAATACATCTTATAACAAGTTTATCTAAAACATTAAATTGGAAAAATTTTACGTAAGCAAGCAAACACGAGCCGACTGACCCACGAACATCCATCTTCAAGATGGACGATGCTAGACCGCCCTAAACCAAAATACCATATAGACAGTGCAAAAATGAAAACCTCGCAAAGAAAAAAAAAACATTTTAAATTTAAAAAAATACCTTTTTCATATTAATGATCACCTTGGCCTAGACCATAAATCCCTAAAAATTTCAATAAAAAATCCATATTTAAGTTGGAAATTTATGTTTAAGATGGATTTTAGAAAGGGAACGCAAGTATACATATGAGTCTTAACTCATAGAACCCCATCCTTTTAAGTTTTATAACTACGGATAATTACATCTTCAAACCATAATAATTTTTCCAACCCTAGAACTACTCTAAACAAAAATTTAGAGGCGCGCCTTACCTCTACAGCATAAAGATGGTGCCTTGGGTAAACCTCAAGTAACTTTTAGGGTTCAAATCTTTTCTTTTTTCTATTTTCTTTTTTTTATTACATCCACGGAGATGATCAGTGAGAATGTCTTTTACGAGATTTGAGAAGCGGAAATGGCCTAGCAAGGCCCCAAGACCCTAGCCCAGCCCTGGACCTCAAGGGCCAGCCTGAAGCCAACCTGGACCTAGCCAAAGAGGCCCTGGTCCAAGCTTGTCTGAGCCAGACCTACTAGATCCAGGTAAAAAAAATACAAATAATGAAATGATAAAAAAGGGTCGCAGGGTCAGCTCACTTCTTAGACTAGCAAGGCCCAATGGTCTAAAATAGGCCGAACGGCCATTGCCAACCCTACCTACACATATCATGGTAAAACCGAGAGATCTTAGCGAACTAGGAACAACTCTAAAGGACATTTCAGAATGGGCAGCATCAAATCCGTTTATTATAACGATAGGTTTTACATAAGCCCCTCAGAACTGGACCCGACTGGGTTCAGTCCAGGCCCAGCCCGAACAATCCGGTGGCAGACCGGACCCAAATATATACTCAGGGCATTGTAGAATGGTTAGAGAGAGAGAGTCATCATGTATATACAGAAAATGCACATCTTCATCATCACTCATTATTTTACCAACTACTTGGGTTGGCTCGACCGAATTATGCATCTTCATGAAAAACATTTCCCCACAAATTTTGAGAAAACCATCAAAGTGAACACATAAATAAACATACCAAGAGCCACCATATGAAAATGCATACATTCCCTGTCCCTCCATTCTTTTTAAGTTGACTGTCCCTTTAAATTAAAGGCAAGGATTTAAAAATGGCTGTGGCTTCTATAAGGTTGCAACATCAAACAATCCCCACACCTCAAAATTTTATCATAACATGTAATTATGGAGTGACAAATTCCTAGGATTATCTGAAAATCTATTTGTCTCTAATTATAAAGTTTTAAACTCCAAAAACGGTTAAAATCAAGTAAATCTATGAACATATGAAAATCTTGAAAATGGACAGGTTAAAATCACATAGATCTATGAACATATGAAAATCTTGAAAATGGACAGTTAAGGTAATGTGTTGCAAGATACACTATTTCTAAGACTCAAAAAAATTAATTTTCATACATCTCGATGTCAAGATGATCAATTAGAACGTTTTTCATCATTAAAATAACATTTTCCAATGGATTTTTGAGGTGCATCTTTAATTCTACATTTTTCCTTTACTTTTTCCTTTAAAAATTTCAAACCTTGAACAAAAGATTTATATATTTCAACACACAGGACATCTAGCACCATTAACACACAGAAACCCATATCCAGTCACCTACCAATCAATCAATGATCATAATGGACACACTTGCTACCCTCTAATAGGATCCATGATTCAGTTAAGGACACGGTTTCTATGCGGCCGGCTCGCAAATTGTAGAAATGCACAGGCTTGGCAAATAATATTTTTTTAAAATATAATTTGATCCTAATTTTTAGAGGATATATAATCTTTAACATGGAGATCATGAATATGAAAAAAAAAATTGAAAATTAGGAATAATAATTATGGTACGAAAACATTTGGACCGTTAGTTACGCTTGTTTTTAGATGGACGACCTATTTGCATCCAGCTTTAAGATGAATGCTTTATACCTATGGACTGCATATTGTAGCAATGCGGTCCAGCCCACATGAAACAATTTTCCTTCAGTTAATTAACATACATTATAAGTCCCCTAATGCAACAAATTTACCCTATGGTGCTAAGCTTGAGGAAGCTTCATTCTAGCAACCTAGGCCACTTATTTGGGTCATCCTAGGAAGGACACATCATTCATTCCTTTGGCATAAACAAAATGGTAAACCTTGCTCATCTCCCCCGTCCTCTACATTTAGGATAGCTTATGAATGGCTATGTCCTTCACTCATGCTTCTCTATTTATAATTGATAATGGTTTCTCCTCATTTCTTCAAAAGATAGTTCAGTGTTTATCACAAATCAAAACTATACTTAAATCTAAGAATCACCATAGGAGCTTTGCACAAGGAGAGTTCAGACTCTTTAAAATAGAAGACATTGAAACCAATGATAACCTTAGAACAGAAACTGTCAGGTTACTTCCACCAATTGAATAACTCATCCCCCCAATGCCCCAAGCTAATCACCATCCTTAGATAAGGATTAAATATCCCTAATACATGTTCTTGACCTAAACACAAGTCCTACAATCTTTCGTTTGACAGATTTCTTGTTGGCACCACCTCTAGATGAAAACCAACCCTTCATCAGTACTGGTTCAAATTGCTCCTCTTCATAAATTCTTACATATTTTTTTATAAATTCTTCAATAGCTACAAAACAATCAAGCTCTGAAACACAACTTCTGACATATTTGGTTCCAAAAAATAATAATAACAATGTTACATAAAATACATTCAAAATGAAGTCGAATTTTGAGATCTTGAAGGCCACGATCCACCATCAATCAAATAGCACATGCATTTCCCCTCTGTTTGCAAATTCATTTTTTATATTTTAATCACCTAGATGAGATCTACACATATAGGCGTCCAATGGACACTACCTTCCAAAGTGGCTTGCGTACAAACAGGTTAGATATATAATATTTTTATATGCAGATGATTAGTCAAAAATAAGAATTGGCATAAGCACCATACTACAGATATCTTCACACAACATACTTCAGGAGAAATGCAGTGAGCTAAGCTTCCAATCCTTCCTAGCATTGTTACTGGGTCTTAATCATGAAGAATAACCACATCACCTGCACTACAGGCCAATAAAGATGAAGAAGAGTAGACTTATGGCCATGTGCAGAATAGACCTAATAGAAACCTAATAGAATATCGATTAAGAGATACGCTTTGGTTCAAATGGAAGGCTCTAAAAGAATAACGGGAAGGCCCAAAAGGACATGGATGGAAGTAGGGAAAAAAGATATGTTGACTCATGGTCTTACTAGGGTATGGCTCTTGATAGAGCAAAATGGTGGAACAGGATTCGTATAACGACTCCAAATAGTTGGGATAGGTTTTGGATGATGACAATGATGATACGCAGATGTTAGATTCAATTTGAAAAATCATTTTCAAGACAAAGCCAAAGTTTATTTCTAGTATTCAGCTAATAGGTTTTAAGGGCAAATTAAAGGAGTGTGAACCCCCTCTAAAACAACCGCACACCCTATAAAATGGGGTTAGAACTTACCAAAAATCTTCAGCCTGAGAGGAAATTCTTTCTCTCAGATTTCAATGTCTAATTAGACCTAGCCCAATCCATGAAACAATCTAGAAGTGTTTACCTAAACAACTTGTGTTTACCTAGGCAAATTGGGGCAGTCATGACCCCAAAAAGAACTCAATATTGATTGTGGTATAGCCTCTCGCCATATGTCATCTAATAATTTCAGAGGAGATTGAGCAATGATTAAATTTTGGCGCCATATTTCCTTGGCGGTCTCGGTTATAAGCAATTACTCAATTTCTCAATATAACATGGATCATACGACCCATTTTATTAAAATAAATTGAGTAAGATTAACAAGCAAAAAAGAATGTCATAATACTGAAACATACATGGAACACTTGTAAAATACATTCACAGGACCTAAGGGCACAAGGCCCCATGTAAATGCACTGATCTGAATATTGAAATCGCATAAAGTAAAACAAGTTTCCAGTAGCATAGGACTTTAATTTGCAACCTATGAACAAATAAACATTGAAAAACATCCATACTAATCCAATCAATACCCCAAAGCATCATGTATGTTCCATTTATATAGTGCAGATGGGGAAAGGAAAGTGTGCGAATAATCGAGAGTCATGTCACCTAGTACCAACACTAGTTAAAAAGAAAAAAAAAAAAGCAATCTGGAAAAAACATTCTAACTTCCCAAACTGGTACTCTGGAGATCGAGCCTCGAAAAGAATCCTTGCACTGCACAAATAAATAGAAAGGACGATAAGAATCTGAAATAAAAATTCAAACCCAAGCATGTTTGTTTAAAGCAATTCACGAAATGCCTCGTACGATAAAAAATTATGAGTAAAATGTAGGGGAGATAAGTGCAAGCACATAGATACCTTCTACAGATACATATATGTGCGCATGTAGGTGCACAAGAGTTCATACAGACTCGCAAATATACAGACTTATGTGTATTATATAATATATACACGTATTCATTTAAATCTATATCAATGGGTCTAAACCATCTGGAGCTCTCAATGCAAATAACAATATTGCAGGTTCCACAACAATTGAAATAGGGGATACCAAGTATAGATGAGAATAAACAGCAGGAAACAGTGTCTTACCTCAAATCCTGCTTGGGTACATGAAAACCCTGACCTTCGCTCCCTGATCAAGAGAAAAAAAAAAACCAGAGTTAATGAGATGATTAAAATAATGAACCAAAATCATGAAGCCAGTAATATGATGGAAAGCACGCACCATAGACCTAGGTGGCAAGTTCGACTTGAACTTGGCTCGAACTACACCACTGTTACCATGGGGCCTGTTGACCTTTCCCCAAATGCACCTATAGTGGGAGCCATTCTTCTTCACCTTAGCCTTGTAAATATAGGCCATACGCTTCCCAAGGTACCAGGCTACCTCCTCCTTAGTGTTAACCCCCTCAATCTGGACCAAGGAAGTATTCTCATACTGATTCGATTTGGACCTAATGCAACAGAAAAATACATGATGGAAAACCAAACAAAAGCATAAAAAAAGAGGAACTGCACACGATAATGGCTCTAACTTTCTAATGCAGGGGGAAAAGAAAGCAAATTAGAAAATCAACAAATCAAAGGTCCTTCATATTTCATCAAAAGCAGCACATAAAATCTCATAGCAAAATCTAGAACAAAATTCCAAGACTAAAAAAAAGGCCGTAACCCAGTGCTGGTCCCGCCTAAGCAAGGTCCCGGTAGGGGTGGGCTGGAAACAGTCCTAACCTTTGGCTTATACACAAAGTGGCCGCTCTCAAGACTCCAACCCGCGCTCTTGCGCTGGCTACCCGAGGCTTTTATCGTCACACCAAGTGACGGCCCCTTAAAGCAAAAAGCACAAGTAAACTCATATGGATGTGTGGAGTGTGCAGTAGAAAGAACGAGAACATATCAATCGCTTTTTTAAAAAACTTTCAAAAGTATCACTCAACTTAATTGCCAAACACTGAAAAAGAACCAACTGAAAAATGAATAAACTTAAATCAAACAATGGGGGTCCAAAAGGAAACCATTCGAACCATAAAATTCAAAATAAATCAACTATAAAGATACACAAACCCCAAAAAAGAATGCAACCCAAAAGGGAAGCGGTAAAATAAATAAATCAACTATAAAAATACACAACCCCCAAAAAATAATGCAACCTAGAAGGGCCGAGGTAAAATGAATCAAGAGAAAATTTCAAATTCAAGTTACACCAATGGAACCCTCTAAACACTAGAAAATCAGGTAAATTCAAGTAAAACCAATGAAACCCACTAAACGCTAGAAAATCAGTGAACACATACATTAGAAAAAAATTAATACCAGAGATAGGGGACAAGAAAATAAATGCACAAGTAAACCTAAAAAAAACGAAAGGACGCCAAATTGAAAAAGAAAATTTACAAAATATCAGTTCCGAAGTTGAAGACATATTCATCCTAAAGTTCAAACTGATACGACTGGAAAATCAAACTTAAATAGTGACACTAAAATCCAAGGAAACTGTAATGTGTGAAGAACTTTTTTCTGATCAGCCGACTTATTGAGCTAGAAAGCAAAGAAGATATCCATTACTTTTTTAATAAAAAAGGAAATCTCCATTATTTAAAACCTCATCATTGTGAAAAGAAACATAAAGGAGCACCACACTCGACTTGGAGATATTTAAAGAAAATGTATCAATTACCAAGCACTATACAAGTACCAATTAACCTAATCCTACAATGGAAGCAGAACCCAACAATGAAGCAACACCAGAAAAGAGAAAAACGATAACTGTAACTCAATTATCACTTTTGGCAGGTAAAAGCAACAACGAAAGCCCAGGAAATGCTATTTAATCTATATATTACGAAACCGTGATTCAACCACACAAACTGCAAATCGAAACCCCATAAAATAAACCAAATAATACAACCCAACATCCATACAAAACGCACTGAAGAATCCCTGGAAGATAACCTAAATCCAAACCCTAAAATAAATCAGGACAGCTGTAGCACGAAAATAATACAATCAATAAAACCCCTAAAAAGAGAAAAAACAATGAATTGCTCACTCACCTCTTGTATCCAAGGATAGTCCCCCTCACATATAATCTGCAAAAGAGTCATAGAAACATTAAACTAAAACCGCAATTTTTGAAGAACAAATATGCATAACATACCCTAATTCCGTTTTGAATATCGAATTCACAGCTCACCTTACGCGCTCCCCCTGAGCCTTCACCATTTTCGCCAAAAGTTGCAGACGAAGGGGAGTGAACTACAAACCCTAAAAATGAGAGAAACCCTAGAGGGCGTAACTCCTCTTATTTATCGAGAAAACAAATGCCCAATTTGCCCGTGACTTTTTCTTTAAGGACACGCTGATCATACTTTTTAAAAATACGACAGTACCCATTTTATGAAAGGTGGTAGGAGGGAAATTTATGGAAATGCACAATTATTTAGCACCAAGGTTTAAATATAAGTAAGATTATGACATTCTACATTGTTTATTTTAGCTAGACGGTGTAGAATTGATACATTTTTTAAAATAATATTAAAAAATAATACATCTTTAAAATAATATCACATATATACTATTTATATAAAATAGATAGTTTAGATTACAGCAACCTTTCTTCTACAGATAAAGTTGCAATATTATATAAACCTTTTCTTAAGACATTATAATATCTATTAATTTTAAAAAACTATCAAAATGCACATAATTATGAATAGTAATAGTTCAAAATAAGTAATATGCTAAAGAAGTGACTAGTTGGGCGTATTTTTTATCAATTTTTCATCATAAAATTGGTCAATCTCGATCCAATACAATGTTAGAAGTGAGAAAAACAATGTCACTAGCTAGTGAATATGAGTTTACCAAGTTGACAAGAGCAAAAGACACTATTGGCGCTTCGCTTTTACTGAGACTAAAGTTATCAATACCATATTGGTTTGCTTGGTTTGACCAATCCAACTGTCAATTGATATCTTGGTTGGTATAAAATAAAACTTTGGTTGAGTTGAGAATGGCTTAAAATCAATGTTTGACCAATTTTGACTATTTGTTTGCCCAATTATGATTGACGTAGTAGACCCCTTACTAATTTGGTGACTGATTTGATTCAATTCTAATAAATAGTTGATTGAATAATTTGGTGCCTCCTTACAAATAAACTATACATAAATTGTACGTATGTGGAGACATGTAAAGCTTGCCTATAAATAATTGCCAAGTCAAGACATTTTAGTGTATTTTGCATATTAAGAAATGTCCTTAGAAAATAATTAGGGCAACTAAACAATCCACAACATTAAAGAGATGCAAGGTAAATCAAACAGGCATGATTAACTCAAGACTATCGTTGTCAGATTCGCTTTGCTTCGGTTGAAGAGACCAAGCCTTCAGATCCTATGCCTAGACCCAAGGTTTAAAAAATTGGTGGCCCAATTTGGAATCGGACGATCTGGATAGGGAATTGCCCATGACACTCTGAAATAGCTCAAAAAAGGGAATTTGCTCAGTTCCAAATAGTATAATCGCCGATTTTTTTCGGGGAAGCATCAATTCCAACTATTCTTCATGAGTCCTCATCAAGTGAAACGAAAAAAAAAAAAAGGATGAACTGTTTTTTCTTGAATTATTAAAAAAAAAAATGAAACAAAGATTACCGATATCGTCGATTCTTCTTATCCGATCCACCGATTCTCCCAATCCGACACGGGTATAGGTGTGACCGATTCGAGTCACCGATCTGTTTTTTTTAAACTTTGCCTAGACCGAAACGAAACGAAACATGGTGTTGTCATTTCGGTTAGTTTCAAGCTACTTTGTCCAGATTTGGGCCGATTCGGCTTAAGCAAAAAAATCAATATAAAAGTATTTTTTATTTTTTAAAATAATATTTTTATTTGTTTTACTATTATACAATTTAATTGAGAATTTTTTCAAATTTACTTTTTCTGTATTGCAATAGGCGGAAATGACATTTGCTTTATTGGGGTATTTAATTGGTTAGCACGAACTATAACTGGGAAATCTTCAGATTCCATGGATTGTTCGAGTGTCCTCTTTCCAAATTACAATTCCATGGATTGTTTGAGTGTCCTCTTTCCAAATTACAATTCTATATATGTGTATGTATGGTGAAATGAAATTCTACACACTTCTTACGACTACTCTCTCTCCTCTCTCTCTCTCAATGGGAACATTTCTTACACATGCACATAAAAGCATGTACACATAATTACAAGGATTGCGCATCCAAACTCTGAAGTACTGTACTTGTCATCTCAAAAAAATATATATATATATATATATGTATAGGAAAAGTCTTTCCAACCTCTATAGGCAAAAATAAATAGTAATTTAGCCTACCTTTATCACCGTCTAAATTTCATCGTAGGGTCACAATTATCAAATAGGTTTTTTTTTTTTTTTTATACAAATCGGAATGATCTGAAATTTGGAGGGTATGTACATCTTGCTGAAGCACATCTAATAAAAATATATAAAAAATTATCTAAGAAAAATAAATTAATCAAAATATCCCCAAAACTTTTTGGGGGTATTTTGGTCAATTTTATCATGTAAAATATTGCTTTTGTAATTTTCAAAGATTCCCCTATTTTTTATTAATACACGCTATAAATTTCAGGTCATTCTGATTTATAGAAGAAAAAAAATAAAAAATAAAACACTACTGGACAATCGAGACTGCGCGATGAACTTTGGACGGTGATGGGGATAGGCGAAATCACTGTTCATTTTCACCTATAAGTGTTGCGTAGTGTTATATATATATAATGTTGATATTAGCTCACTAACTCATATGAATATATGAGCCCAACGGCTTAGATTGAATCTGAGCCGATCCGACGATCACGACCTCATTGTGTGTTTTAATTTTTATTTTATTTTTTACCAGTTAAAATAACTAGAAATTTTAGAAGTACATTATTCTCATCAAGGTGTACCTAATAAAAATATTTAAAAAATAATTCATAAAAAAATGAATTAAACACTAAAACTTGTCAAGGATATTTTGATCAATTTATTTGTTGCAAATTATTTTTTTGATATTTTTATTATATTTTTATATTTTTGAAAAGCACACGCTTAAAATTTCAAGTTATTTGAATTCATAGAAAAAAAAATCTAATACGAAATGAGGTTGTGACCATCAAATCATGTAGCTTCAATCTGAATCATTTAGCTCATATGTTGAAATGAGCTAGCGGGCTAATCTCATATATATATATATATATTCATTTATTTATTTATTCACAACAATCTGTGAGGAATAAAAGGAACTTCGTTATTAATATTGTCGTATGATACCAGTCCATTGAAAAAGAGAAGTGTAAATAATATAATAAGAAAGAATAAATGATTATGCTAACAAATATTTAATCATCGTCCCATTAGCTCATAAGGTACGACCCTCCTTGATATTAATAGTGATCATCCCCTCATGTTTTGGGCAAATTTTGTTTTACTACTGGCTAGCAATTTGTCAAGCTTCTCTCTATCATTTATTTATTGAGAATTATTTATTTTTCTTGAGATAGAGGTTGGTGGGGAATTGCATCATTTTCTCTATGACATTCGTCATAAAGCCTATCATCTTCACCTATATGTTGCGTGTAGAGAGCATTCACCAATTTGACTTATGTGCTTATTGGATCATCATCATCATTATAGTTTTATTTCAATTAATTGGGGTCAACTGCACGAATCTTGATCCACTATTATTTTCTATTAAATGTCATACCCTCAGTGAGGTCATAAGTCTTCATTGGATATGAAACATATATTGAGAATATAGAAAAATCACTTATTTAATACCCTAAGTGGTCTCTCGATAGCATCGAGCCAGGAAGAATGGAGGTTAAAAAACTCTTCCAAAATTTAGGAAGGTTGGGAACTAGGGTTCCCCTCTGTATGGAGCAAGAAATCTTGTAGTATTAACATATCCAACATCAACGAGGTAGTACTCACCTAGTTTGTAAAAATAAAAAATAAATAAAATGTTAGATAGAATATCCATCGCAATTATAAACAACAATAACACAATATGTAACACCCCCAGGAACATAGAAATCTTTGTTCAAGCTTGCTTGTGGAACCTTTACATCCCTCCCATCTGACAAAAACATATAAAATCTACGATCCAATGAACATATTATCATCACATTTTGTGAGAAACCTCCATTTTGATTGCGATATGGCACACATTTTTCTTCAATTATAGCCATAGTGATATATGCATCAACCGCACTTTACAATACTTTAAAAAACACAATACCATATGTTTGAAGAGCATTACATTCAATAATTATCCACTATAAAAATTGACTGAAATAATTTACTACCTTAAAATAAAGGTAAAATATAGTTTGATTGAGGATTTCAAGAGTCACACGTGAGAATATGCTAAAGATCACAAATTTCATCAAGGGCAAGCTTTCTATGCTTCTCCTACAGCATAAAACTTATATACTTCCCCTTATCCAACCGTCCATTCCGAATGGAGGGCTAAGATTGTCCCAACGATAATATCACGTGTCTACACTATTTTATTTTTAATTTTTTTCTATAAACTATTTTGACACCAAATTTTGCACGTCCATTCTTCTATTAAACTCGCACTAGCGAAAAATATGTAAAAAAATATATTTTCAGTAAAATAAAATGACCAAAATACCCCTTAAAATTTCAAGGGGTATTTTGGCCATCATATTTGATCGAAAATTTATTTTTAATATTTTTTATAGGTGCGCCCCAATGAGAAGATCACGTACGAAATTTTATATTCATACAATTTGTATTAAAAAAAACTAAAAATTAAATACTTTGAGACGTCGGAACTAATATCAAACAGTGAGTGGCCTCTTGATCAAAATTAGACGGCTGGATGGTAGACGAAAAATATAACTTCTATGCTGTAGGAGAAACATAAGAACCTTTCCCTAAAAACCTTCACAAAGGGAAAACCTTCATAAAATATATACTAATTGCCTGGTCAGAATGTTGGAAATGCTATTGGATATTCCCATTGAAAGCAACACATTGTCTAATGACAAGGTACAATTGTTCAGGAACATTCAACGTATAGCTATAAACACGAGTAAAGGTAATGTCTTACAATAATAGATACACATTGTCAGTTGGAATCATTTTACTTTTGAACAATATAACCAAATTGAGAATCAAGAAGAAAAAAAAAAAGATATTCCCAATGAAAAATGTAATGCAACATATTCCATATTTCACTAAAATGAATTAGGACCAAAGATATAGAAATACC